GACTCGGTGTTCCTGTAAGGTAAGGTTCCTATTAAAGGCTACACGGTAGAATTTTAATAAGAGTATTATCTTAATCATATTAAAATCGGAGTATTGGTGTCTTACGTGAATGTACTCAGAAAGTCTCCGGTGAAGACGCGAGCTGTCAAAGACAGGGCATTACTCTGCCTTTCAGCATGAGCCCTCCAAGTTTAGCGTGTTTCCTCATTAAACGCAACGAAAGCGTATGCTTCGCGTTGTTGTGTCAGAATCCTTGTGAAATACAGTAATACTTTAGGACGCTTAGTTTAAGCAAATTTGATGAACGTGATCATGCGTGTTGAATCTGAGGGGAGTCGCTCCAGTATGGAAGGCCATTGGGGCCAAAACGTCTGCAGCGCCTTGTGTGTGTGTCCGTCTGTGTATGTGTCTGTGTCAGGCCAGTTGAGGGGTGTCAGGGGTGGAGTGAGCGACGTATCTGAGTAGGGGCGAGAGGGGTGTGCAATGTATTTAACGACCGGTTTGCAAGAAATTATCATTCATTTGCGGGCATTTGGGAGTCTCTGTGCACTTGCGGGATACTCCTAGTCTTAGGAACTGGATGAATGTAAAGGAGGATTAAGCAAAATTGTTTCTACTCTATAACTAATGTTCTCAACTCACAGCAATAAAACTTTATAATGAGTGCAACTGTTTGTATTCTATAGTTTATTATTATAATTTTTCATTTTCCATATCTGCAATTCCTGTATTTTGGCATTTTTTTGCAGTCCACTTAGAATCCAACATGGAAATCAACGTTTTCTTTATTGGCATTGATTGTTTTGAAATTTAAATGTCATTAACATGCCTGTGTTTTTATTTCTGTAATAAATATGGCTGTCAAGCCAGGATCTTGATGGTTTATTGTGGGTATGCTGTTTACATGAAGAAATCAGTGTTACAAGTTAAACAAAAATTCTATTAAACAATTATATTTTGAATTTAAATATTTTTTGTCTTGCGTTTACATTAATTTTACATTAAAATAGCCAAAATTACAAGTTTCAGTATTTTAAATGTGATTAATCGCGATAAATTTTTTTTAAAAGGTGCGATTACTTAGTTAATTTTTTTTTAATCGATTGACAGCACTAATATATATATGTGTGTCATTCTGTGTCCTTGTGTGTCCACACACACACACACACACACACACACACACACACAAAACCTTGTGTGTTTGTGCACACTTGGTGAATAAAGCATACACACACACACACTTACAATCTGAGGTCTGACTCGCCTCGACTAAATTAGGAGAATAGAAAACACTTACCGGATATTTCTCCAGCGTCTCGGTCAGTAAAGCGTCCCCGAAGATGGACCGGCAGTACTCTGCCATTTTGGCTTGCTGTTTGGGGCTGTAATTCAAACAAACACAATAATGAAACAGCCATCATCATCGCTATGATTGCAAAGCATCTCATTCCCACCTGAGACTCAAATGACATTCCCATCATCTGTAATTTCATGCAAGAAAATAAGACGAGCACTCAAGTGCCACATCTCACAGCAGGACAATGATGACTGAACACAGATCTCGCGTGTCATAATTATGCAAATGTTTTAATGTTTTATAACAGTGCGTTACTATTATTGCATGACAAAAACTTTATGTTAGAAATGTTTTATGCACATTTGTGTTTGTGTGTACTTATATTACTAACATTGTAATCATTTGCTACACGGTACATTTTAATTTGATGATGTAAAACAACACAGCACAAACGGTATTGACAATTTAGATTTTTTTAAATTAAAATGATATTTTGGCATCAGTGTCGTTTTAATTATTTATTTGCTATACACTTATTTAATTCTTTTCACTTGACAACTGAAAACAAATGACAAATATTAAACCCTTATACTGTACACAGTTGAAGTCAGAATTATCAGCCCCCCTGTGTGTATATATATATATATATATACAACGTCGTCGTCGTTGGAGTAGAAGTATCAGATGTAGTAGATGTAGTAGTATTAGTAGTAGTAGTAGTAATAGTCATCGTCGTCGTTGGTGTAGTAGTATCAGAAGTAGTAGATGTAGTAGTAGTAGTAGTAGTAGTAGTAGTAGTAGTGGTGGTAGTAGTAGTCGTCGTCGTCGGTGTAGTAGTATCAGAAGTAGTAGATGTAGTAAATGTAGTAGTAGTCGTCGTTGGTGTAGTAGTATTAGTAATTTTCAGAAGTAGCTGGTGTAGTACTTGAAATTATTATTATTATTATTATTATTATTATTATTATTATTATTATTATTATTGTTGTTGTTGTTGTCAGTTATTATTACTGTTATCCTTTCTTTTTTTAGTGACATTATTACTATCATTACACTACTATCATTGCTGTCACTTTATACCACTGATTGATTTCTTTCTATCTGTTTTATTTATATCTGTTATTTGCTTCAATGAATGACTGGTATACATGTTGTTTGTGTATTAGCCCCCCCTGTGTATTAGTTTTTCTTTCTTAAATATTTCCCAAATTATGATTAACAGATTCTGGAAATTTTCACAGCATGTCTGATAATATTTTTTCTTCTGGAGAAAGTCTTATTTGTTTTATTTCGGCTAGAATGAAAGCAGTTTTTAATTTTTTAAACACCATTTTAACGACAAAATTATTAGCCCCTTTAAGTTAATTGTTTTTCTGATAGTCTACAGAACAAACCATCATTATACAATAACTTGCCTAATTACCCTAACCTGACTAGTTAAACTAATTAACCTAGTTAAGCCTTTAAATGTCACTTTAAGCTGTATAGAAGTGTCTTGAAAAATATCTAATCAAATATTATTTACTGTCATCATGGCAAATATAAAATAAATCAATTATTAGAAATGAGTTATTAAAACTATTATGTTAGAAATGTGGAAAAGAAATCTTCCTATAAAGAATTATATTCTTGCTAAGGGGAAGGGCTAAATAGCCCTTGAAATGGAGATTTTCCAGGACAACACTCGAAATCAAGAGGGACAAAAATTTCACAGAATACACCAGCTACAAAGACATAGCTGCACACGGAAGTCAGGATATGCATAAATTTGCATGGTTTGGCCTTATTAAGCATTTTTACAACAAACAAGCATATGTTTTAATACATTCATTACTATGTTCATGTTTCATTGTTATGTTTAAAAAAAAAAACGATAAAAAAACTTGCTAAATTTAGTTATCTATATTCCATAATATAGGTTTGGGCAATAATATAGGCTTATAATATTGATAAATATTTTTTTATTAAAACTGCCTTTATTCTAGCCAAAATAAAACAAATAATACTTTCTCCAAATGATTTATAGGAAATACCATGTCACAAAAACTGCCTTCTTATATCTGAGAAATATCGCTAAGTTACAAAGTATGCTGTCCATCTCAGATGCAGAAAAGCTAGTCCATGCTTTTATGACTTCTAGGCTGGATTACTGTAACGCACTGTTTGCTGGCTGCCCAGCATCCTCTATTCACAAACTTCAATTAGTACAAAATGCAGCAGCCAGAGTTCTGACCAGGTCTAGAAAATATGATCATATCACCCCAATTTTATCCTCCTTACACTGGCTGCTTGTACAGTTTCGTATTGAATTTAAAATATTACTTCTCACCTATAAAGCTTTAAATAATCTAGCTCCTGTTTATCTAACCAACCTTCTGTCTCGCTACAATCCTACTCGCTCTTTAAGATCTCAAAACTCAGGGCTTCTGGTAGTACCTAGAATAGCAAAATCTAGTAAAGGAGGTCGAGCCTTATCCTTTTATGGCTCCAACACTCTGGAATAGCCTTCCTAATAACGTCCGAGGCTCAGACACACTCTCCCAATTCAAAACTAGATTAAAGATCTATCTGTTTAGTAAAGCATACACTCAGTGCATCACCTAGATGGTTCCACACAGGCTTCTGCATCTTGCTTATATACACGATGAACAGCAGCTACGCTAATTATTCTCTTTATTCTCTATTTTCACCTGGGGATACTCATCCCGAGGTCCTCAGATTATGCAGAGTCACTGATTGGATCCAAGACCAGCGACGAGATGATCCCAAGGTTTCCATATCCGAGACCAGGCCATATCCTGAGCTGCTGCTGCGCTGATGGTCATGGGGAGTGGAGAACATGAGTCTGATTCCAGCGACGCTCCAGGGACAGACGAGTCTTCGCTGAGGCCAGCTTCCAGCCTCCACCACGGTGACTGAAGCTCTGCACAAGATTTTTGGCCAGCGGAGAAATTAAAATGGTCGTGCCCAACTGAGTCTGGTTCTCTCAAGGTTTTATTTCTTCACTCCTATCAGGTGAAGTTTTTTTTTCCTCTCCGCTGTCGCCACTGCCTCGCATCGATGAATTGGCTCTTCAGTGGTTGAACTCTCAGTAATGATTTTAAATCACACTGAACTGAGCTAAACTGAACTGAACTGAACTTAAACACTAAAAACTGAACTACACTGTTCCAGCTACTATGACCATTTTAATTTTCTGACTGCAAACACACACAGACACAAACACACTTACGAGTCCACGTGATTCTCAAAGGACAGAATGACAGGAAACGGAGATGTTTTAAATGCACAATCCGCTATGGCTTCAATCACTTCCTGCAAAACAACAGCGATTATTTCAATTAGTCTTAAAAATGCATTTGACTTATTTTATAAATTAAACAACATGAATTAGCTTTATTAACCTACTGATCAGTGAGTTATGCATTAAGAATAACCAATCATTTTGCAACATTTAGTAATCATAGTTCAACATTTACTCAAGCATTATAAAATCCAATTTTGTGCTTGTTGAGATTAGTTAATGCACAAAAACTAACAATGGACGACTTTGACAACCATGGTGAATAAATACTGTAAAATACTGTAATACAGGTATTATTTATTGTTTGTCTATGCTAGTAAATACATACTATTAAACCAAATTAATAAATAATTACTAACTAATGGAGAATTTAACTAATTGTAAAGTGTTACCAGAAAAAAGTGATTAAATAATAAATTAACACATACATAAATACAAAAATATAAATAAATAAATGAATAAAAAAATATATAATAAATAAATTAATTAATTAACAAATAATTAAATAATAAAAAATAACAATAAATAAATAATAAAAAACAACAATAAAAGAAAAAAATCTATAATAATAATAATAATAATAATTATTATAATAAACATAATAATAAACATAATAATAATAATAATAATAATAATAAATCAATAAATGAACAAATAAATAAATAAATAATAATAACAAAGAACACATAAATAACAATTATGATAATAATGAAAATGATAATAATAATGATATTAATAATAAACAATAATAATGAAATAAAAATAAATAAATAAATTATTAAATACCTAATAAAAAATAAATGAATAAATAAATAAATAATAATAACAATAATAATGATGTAATAATAATAATAATAATAATAATAATAATAATACAAATAATAATAATAATAATAATTATTATTATTATTATTATTATTATGATAATGATGATGACGATGACAATAATAATAATAATAATAATAATAATAAATAATGGAGTGACGCAGTGGCGGAATAGGTATTGCTGTTGCCTCACAGCAAGAAGGTCACTGGTTCGAGCCTCGAGCCTGTGTAGAGTTTGCATGTTCTCCCTGCATTCGCATGGTTTTTCTCCGGGTGTCCAAAGACATGCGGTACAGGTAAATTGGGTGGGCTAAATTGTCCATACTGCATGTATGTGTGCGAATGAGTGTGCATGGATGTTTCTCAGTGATGGGTTTCAGCTGGAGGGACATCCGCTGTGTAAAACATATGCTGGATAAGTTGGCGGTTCATTCTGCAGTGGCAACCCCGGATTAATAAAAGGACTAAGAAAATGAATGAATTAATGAATAAAAATAACTGTTAATAAACAAACAAATAAATAAATAAATAAATAAATAAATAAATAAATAAATAAATAAATAAATAAATAAATAAATAAATAGAAGCTGATTTCTGCAGGCATATTTTGTAAAGTCCTGTATATCAGACAGTGAATAAAACGACTCCCATGCACTTTGCAGTCATTGGTTATCCTTATAA